AGATTACAGATGGGAGTGAGAGGGGGGAAGGTGGGGGCCAAGCCACAAGTCGATGTAAACACCAGGAAAATTTAGATCCACAGCCATTCAAGGGCTATTGGTGGTTTGAGAAAAAGAGGTTCTGCCACGCTCGGTTCCGTGGTCATACTGTAGCAGCATGCATTTGTTTAGAAGAACCACAATAAAGGCTGAGTTATAGTTGCATTTTGGAGTGCACGCGTACCCTCTCCGGGAGTAGAAACGTTTATACTTGGTGGTTATGTTGTTGTAGATTTCTCCAAAATGACATGTGGAAGTACACTTTGTAAGTTGTGAAAATGTTGTAAACAGGATAGCAGAAGCGTGACGAACAAACAAGCTGTTTGAATGATGCACAGCTCGCAGACCCTCTGTGGAGATTCTAAATTTCAGAGGTACTCGACCATAAACCAGGACACTGCGCGTGGCCAATGCACAGTGGCGGGGACAGCTTGATTGCGTCACTTTTGGCTCGAACCCCATCGTGCCTGGTGCGATGCATCAACTATAAACCTGGCTTAACGCACCTCCAGCTGATCTGCTCAGAGAGCAGCCGGTCGACCGCAGAGTGGACTTTGAAATGCTACAGATTATTTTATTAACTCAGCAGACACAAACTGTCCCTGCTAGAACCACATATAGGCTATAATAATTTCTCAGTTGTCTCTCAATCCAACAGTGAGATGTGCGGTTGTGTGGCTTCAGCTCGTCATTCCTCTGTGGAAGTGCCTTTCCACCGCCATGGGCAAAACAAAATATGGTGGCCTCACCAGGTTTAAAGTCATTTGAAAAAGTTTGGGCACCCTTGTTAATTTTCCTGATTTAAATCGTTGATTGTTTGGATAAAAAAATCAGTTAAATATATCATATAGGGGACGAACACAGTGATATTTGAGAAGTGAAATGAAGTTTATATGATTTACAGAAAGTGTGCAATAATTGGTTAAACAAAATTAGACAGGTGTGTAAATTTGGGGACCAAAAAACCCTTAACTCAGTATTTAGTAGATCCTCGTCCTGATGCATCTCAGTAATCCAGGTAAAAAAATCAAAAGTAAAAAAAATTGTATAGGTCCTCTGGACGGGTTCTTCTTTAATGAAACGTTTCGTCTCTCTTCCAAAAGACTTATTCAGTCTGAGAGTTTCAGGCAAAATTCAGGCTTTTGAGTCCTGCCTCCAGGTGACTGATACTCACATCACATGGCTATCGCTCACAGGTGATATCACATGGCCATCGCTCACAGGTGACTGATACTCACATCACATGGCTATCGTTGACAGGTGATATCACATGGCCATCGCTCACAGGTGACTGATACTCACATCACATGGCTATCGTTCACACCTAATATCACATGGCCATCGCTCACAGGTGACTGATACTCACATCACATGGCTATCGTTCACACCTAATATCACATGGCCATCGCTCACAGGTGACTGATACTCACATCACATGGCTATCGTTC